GGGCTCCCCAGGACAAGAGAGACGTGGCACTCCTGGAGAGAGTCCAGCAGAGGGCTACAAAGATGATGAGGGGACTGGAGCATCTCTCCTCTGAAGAAAGGCTGAGGGCGCTGGGCCTGTTCAGCCCGGAGAAGAGAAGATTGAGAGGCGATCTCATCAATGTGTATAAATATCTGAAGGGAGGGTGTTGAGAGGATGGGGCCAGACTCTTCTCCGTGGTGCCCAGCAACAGGACAAGAGGCAACGGGCAGAAACTGAAACCCAGGAATTTCTGTCTGAACATGAAGAAAAACTTCTTGACTGTGAGGGTGACCGAGCCCTGGCCCAGGTTGCCCAGAGAGGTAGTGGAGTCTCCTTCGCTGGAGATATTCAAAACCTGCCTGGACACGATCCTGGGCAAAGTGCTCTAGAGGACCCTGCTGGAGCAGGGGGGTTGGACTAGATGATCTCCAGAGGTGCCTTCCAACCTCAGCTGTTCTGTGATTCTGTGATTCTGTGAATTAGGGGTTCCCAGACACAGTTAAGAAACATGATACAACTGATGTCACTGAAACTGAGATAGTTTTTACAGCTAGAAACATAAAAATGACTGGTTATGACCTATTAAAAAAGGCTCTGTCAGGTAAAAATGGCGTGATGTAGGCATCTGTGCTAAAAATATTACTGCTTCTTTTAAGGGTGTTGACAACGTGAGTTACAAGGTCTGGAAAGTGCACAAAGGAGCTGTCGCATGAGATAGGGCAGTTGCTACCGGCTGTCTCAGCCGTGGTGGCGGGTGGGAGCCAGGCCCAGGGCCCTGCTCGGCTTGGCTCGGCTCAGCTTGCAGCAAGGGTCTTCCGAGAGCCACTGCCGTGCAGGCTCCCACCGCGGGTGCAGCCCCGCGCCGCTCCCACGCGTGGGGCAAGCAGGAGTCCCGCGGGGCAGGACAGGCTCTGCCTTCTCTCTCCTTCCTCCCGCTGCCGGGATGGCGTGATCTGCTTCTCACTAGCTCTGAAACCAGCGTGTCGGGGAAGTCCTTGCGGGACACTTGACCGATCCTCACGACCCTGTGGCTGGTGGTGGTCGGTGCCCTTTTGCTCTGACCAAGGTGATCGGGAGGATTTTCCCGGCTGCACGTTCCTCCGTAGCCCCCGCAGGCGCACTCCCCTCTCTTGGTTTAACACGTGAGAAGGGGAATCCCAGCAGCCCGCTCTGGTCTGGCCAAGCCTGCGTGGCAGCACAGGTCCCACAGCTGCGGGGTCACCAAAAGCACCTGTCTCTCCTGAGGGGAATCTCCTTGCAGAGCTATCCTTGGGGTCGGGGTGGCCTCATGGGTATTTTACAGCATCCTGCAGATGCAGCCTCATAGGCCCTGCACGCCTGGCACGGTGGGACCTCCCCGGTGGTGCCAGCACGTGTTACAGTCCCACAAGGAAATAATGCTGTTGCCATGCCTGAAGCCCTCTCGCTGGGAGCCTTGGTGTTACAGGAGGAAGAAAATAACCTGGACTGTCTTCTCAATGGAGAACTCAGTCATGATGTTGCCAAGAAAACATTTTCCTCACTTAGGTTCTGAGTTTGAACATCAAAC